AAAAAAAAAAAAAAAAAAAGAAGAAGAAGAAGAAACTGAGGTTACCAACAAACCAGAACACCAAATAACACCAAAAATATAATCAAACGCCAGCAAAAGTCACCAGGATAAGAATGCCGGTATAACTTCAGTACAAGAGAACAAAAGGTCCATAACAAAAGGAAGTGTCGTATATGTGCAGAGAAGTCGCCGGTCAAACCTGTTGGTGAACGACCAGTTTGCTTTCTGGAGAGTGACGTAGACTGTGGAGGCAGAGCGTGTGACCACACGTGTGGTTGGGCGGCGATGAATTTGCAAGGAGGCTGGTCTGGATCTCCGGGATCTAATCTTGAGGGAGGTGAAGACTGACCAAAAACTGGAAATAGGCTTATTTGAGAATATCTGACACCCTAGTTCCTGGGCCTAGAAGAATTTGTGGGAGGAAAAACTGGCTCCAATGCATGATGTTTGGAGGAACCAATATATTTCATTCTGAAAATAATTATACAAAAGGCTCTATTAGTAATTCAAAGGACACGAATTAGAGTAACCAAATCCCATACTTAGGGAGCATAATTATCCTTTTCTAACGCCTCTATTCTATATGTTTACAATATATTCTTATCTACTTTTTAGGCAATGAAGAAAGATGTTAATGGATGTCATATGTATGTTAATGTTCACATATAGTTGTGTATTTTTCTTTACAGCTACTTATGCTATCTCCTTCTTCTGTCTTTCTCCTCTGTGTCATTATAGCTTAATGTTCCTGAACTGGCCCTGTCGTACTGTGATCGGGTATATGAGTCTGGACTTCAACAGTCAGCCAAAGCTTACAGCAACATATACCTCATGCTACTGCAAATATATTTGAATCCTCACAAGACAACAAAGAACTTCGAAAAAAGAATCACCAATCTGGTGTCCGCTAGGAGCCCTGGAGCCCCAAAACTTACTTCCGGTTCCAGTAAGAATAGAAATCGCCTTTCGAAGAAAATTGCAGAAATTGAGGGTGCTGATGAGATTCGCTTCAGCCAAAGTGGCACAGACAGTGGAAAGAGTGATTGCGATACTGATGATGCCGTTGAGGAAGGATCATCTGCTATTATGCATGATAGGGTCCTTGATTTGTTGAGCCAAAGATGGGATCGAATAAATGGAGCGCAGGCCTTAAGACTACTTCCCAAGGAAACTAAGCTGAAGGTTGTTCCTTTGTTTCTTTTGTTGATCTTTTATTTTCTCTATTATAGGTACTTGGATATAAGAATGTAATCTGGTTTTGGGTAACCTGAGTGAATGAGTACTTGTTTTATACTTACTGCAGAACTTACTTCCTTTTCTTGGACCACTTTTGAGGAAATCCAGCGAAGCTTACAGGAACTTTTCTGTGATAAAGAGTTTGAGAGAGAGTGAAAATCTACAGGTATGTTTCCTTTGGGGGAGCGTGATCCCAATATCACTATGAAGTTTTCCATGATGTTCAGCATGCCCATTACATGCCTGGCATATATACTTGCATAATGTGTAGAATGATAGAATTAATAACGTGTAATTGTGTAATTATGCTACTGACAGAAGATTACACACCAGAGATTTGGATTGTATTCTGGAATGGTGAATGAACTGGAACATGTACCTTTTGAGCTGACTTGCAACTGCTATCCTCCATCCATGTCTGTTCTTATTCTTATCAGTTTGGCCTAGAATGTCAATTAAACTGAAATCTTTGTGCGACGACATTGTTTTCCAGGATTGGTTTCATATCAACATACCTTACTGTATGGATTGCTTTACTTTCCATAGCAACAATGTGATTTTGAAAGTTGGCTCACAACTCTTTGGCGAAGCATTCATATATTTTGTTTCTTATAATATATCATTTTTTTCCCAATCTCTTTCTTTTCTTTTTTTTTTTTTTT